GAAGCTTTAACATGAGAATAAGTTGTTGCCATGGTTAGGGAAACATAGACCTTTCTCTGTGCATCTCTGTTTACAGGCACTTTTAGGGGAAACTAACCTCAAAAATAGAATCAGGATGTCCAACTTAGGGGGACATGACCCTTCTTTCCTTTTTATTCGTGTTGTTTTACAGATCAGCGTTGAAGATTGTTGGAGAAGAATGTGGTTTCCACCATCTCCGGTCGGTCTGACTGTTGCAGGCGACGGTCAAAGGTTGGTGGACCAAACAACCATCTATGATTCGTCCATATGAATTCCAGGGGACCCACTGGAGGGCGCACATTTGACAACTCAACAGCTTGACTCATTTTGTATTATATATGCATCATTGTGTTTATACTCTCAGATGTAAAGTCGTTCCAACGGTTGGGTGTGTGTGTGTTAAAGCATTGCGTAAGTGAGTAGGCAGGGGTTTGACCCCTGCATCTTGCATTTTATTTTTTTCTAATTTTGCTTGCAGATCCAGTGTGCACAGGCCAAATATGTGCACCATGTACCATCAGATCATCACCATCTGATCCAGATCCAAGCGCCTCAACATGCAGCCCACGATGCACCTCCTGAAGGCCAACATAGAGAATCTAATGCAATTGTTGGGCTAGTCTATTTGGGCCCAGTGAATTTCAATTCTCACCCCCCCCCCCCCCCCCCGGCCATTGGTGTTCATATAGGCCCATTTCCATATTTCCTTTATTTATTTGACTTATTTATTTCTTTTAAAATCATTATTTTTTAATTATAACATAAAATGAAAAATCATAAAAAACATTAGGTTTAGCTTTTTTTAATTAAATTAATTTCTTTGTAAATTAATTAATTAATCATTTTAATCTTTTACTTAATTTAAAATCAAGTAGACTTAGGATTTAATTTCATTGCTTTTCCTTTTATAATAAAGATACAAAAAAATAGATTTAGTTTCTTATTTTTTTAATTTCACATCTTCTTTAGATAATTAATTTTCTTCTTTTTTTTATATTAATTATTATTTATTTAACATTTTCTCAACATAAAATCAAAAACAAACAAAAAGAATTTTATTTTACTTAGAACTTTCTAGGGTTTTACGCATCATTTCCATTACGCGCGCATTTATTTACTTTCGCACTTTTTCATATTATTGTAACTGCCTACTGGGATGTGATAGACAATAAATAGGAATTATACTTTACTGCTTTATCCCCCTCATTTTCGGACTTGTAAATAATCCCCTCCCTGAAGTCTTGTAATAGCTAGGTTTTACGTTTCCGCACTTTAAATTCCTACAACTTTTAAACTGTTTAGATGCATGATAATAGGATTGTATGGAAATATTTTAAAATCAAACGCTAGCAAACCTAATGCAAAGACAAAATTACTGAATACAACACACTCTCACATATACACCTCTAGGGTATCCCTACTTTGGTTGCCTTCGGAAAACATTCACAACTCTCGAAACGTGAGAGACTTTAGTGGCTACCCTCTAGTTTAAAAGATCAAAAATAACCCTCTCGATGTTGCCTCAGTATGATCTTAAAACCCTTGGGTAGTTACTAAGGTTTCTCGCCCACTTGCCGTTATGACTATATGATGTCCCTTCAAATGTTCCTCAAACATCCAATGACTAGGGCTACCTACTCACTAATAGTAGGATAGTATTGTCTAAAGGAAAAGAGGAAAAGAACAACCTTTCGAGTAAAGTAGATAGTTCATAGATGCTTGCTCAATACAAAACAAACTTTTACACGTACACAAAACTTTTTCCAAAAACATTTTTCAAAACACTTTGTATACGTTCTCAACATTACGAGAAACATTATGAAGTTCTCCATACTAAGGAACTTTCTTTCAAAAATTCTTTTCAAACGCACAAAGCACAAGGTATTTTTTTCAAATGAGCTAGCATCTAAGAGCCCGTAGATAACTACGGATGAAAAGGGTGCTAACACCTTCCCTTTCCATAATCTACCCCCCTTACTCAGAAATAAATCTCGAAAGATCTTTTTCTGTTCTTTTCACCCTTTCCTTTGTTGGATAAAAGAAAAGTCGGTGGCGACTCTTTCTTACCGCAACATTTGCGAATATAAATGCAAAACCAGTATAACAATCGGTTCTCCCACCGTATTACAGAACTGGCGACTCTGCTGAGGAATTATATAAAGTGGGGTTACCTTAGAGCTAGATCATATTTAATTTTCTTTCCTTGTATGCTTTGCTTACTTTACTTTAAGGGATTGTTTGGGTTTTACTTGTAAAGATCCTATACTCGGATTTGGGGTACTTTTAGGTAAGCAGCAATAGATCATGGAGACTGTACGGCGTAGACCGATATGGTTGAAACGATGGTTGCATTAGTGTGACACATTTGTTGGTATCAGTATCCCTTGTGTTAAATCGAGGAGAATACGGGGCCACTGTGTGGTGTCATAAAGCACTAATTGACCTTAGAACCTTAGTTGAACAAACTTGGCCATTAGAAAGGTAGTGAGATAGCCGGCCTCGGTATAAAGCTGAGAATTGGTTAATACTCGATGCTACACTTATTGAGATCGGAATTTTGGGATATTTGGGCCGCGAGAAAAGATCTCCTGAGCTGAAACCATGCCTGATAAAGAAAGATCAGTGATATTGAGACTCCTTAGAACCCAGTTACTTTTCTAAGGCAGGTTGAACAAACTAAACTTCAAGAGGGTACTTGCCTATAAACCCTATGCAAGCCTAAACATAAGGTCTTGTGTGTTTTTCTTGTGTGTGATTAAATTGTTCAAACATAACATCATGCATTATAACATCCATTCTCATTTCACTAACCATTTCAAGGATCTCTAGGGCCTGTAATGCAGATTATGATGAACCAGACGTCTAGCAATGGGAAAGGGGGTTTATTTTCCTCTAGACAATGTCGTTAAAAGACCAAAGTACAACAACTTGAGTCAGAGGCTATGACCCACTCGACATGGTGAGCTTGATTCTCGTAGAAGGACGTTCAACGATACGAAATTCTTCAATCAAACCTGCAGTCAGATTCTAACATTTTTTGTGTTTATCCCGCGAGATCCTTGAAAACATCGCATAAACATACATATCATTACATGAAGAGGCATTTCAAAGACAGGTTTCTTATCTTTTCGCTGTTTATTTCAGCAAAAAGAAATGGCTCTCAAACAGAATATTAAGGACCTTTAAGCCCAAAATGCTCAATTCCATCAGATGTTCCTGGCACTGACTAAGGGACAAGAATACTTGAAGGCTCTCATTCTCAAACACAAGAAGAAAAAGGCAAAGAAACCAGTGGGTGTCCTGAATATGGGAAGGAGATTCAGAGGACCAGCCAAGCGATCTCTAGAGTTCATAACTCCATCAAATGAGGGGGACAATCAGGAAGAGAAGACAAAAGAAGAAGACCACGATCCAGGGTCTGATGAAGAAGAGGTTGACTATGCTGAAGAGCAGTATCCCCTTGCTGATGACAAATACAAACAATTGGAGGATCGTCTCAACGCCATGGAAATTCAGAGGGTACCTGGTCTGGATTTTGAAGAATTAGGGCTGGTTTCTAGAGTGGTCATTCCACAGATGTTCAAGGTTCCCGTATTTGCTAAATATGACGGGGTTTCATGTCCTAAGTTGTATATGAGGTCTTATGTCAGGAAAATTCAACCTCATACAGCTGACGGGAATCTATAGGTGCACTTCTTCCAGTAAAGCATGTCAGGGACACAGTTAGAGTGGTTTTACCAACTGGAAGGAACCAACATCCGTAATTGGGAAGATCTTGCTGTTGCTTTTTATAAGCAGTACCAATACAATGTTGACCTCGCTCCAACCCGAACGCAACTTTAAAGCATGTTTATGGGTTCTAAAGGGGGCTTCAAAGATTATGCCCAGAAGTAGAGAGATCTTGCAAGAAGAGTCCAACCTCCTCTGTCTGATAGAGAGCTAGTAGATATGTTCTTAAGCTGTAAGGTTTATTTGGATGAAAAGGGATGAGTTTGTGTAGAACAGTAGGAGGTGTCGACCAGGTTGAAGATTATCAACCAGAAGAGCTAGTTGACGAAATACATGGGATTCGGAGGTAGCCATCGATAGGCATAGGGGTCGACAATCAAATATTTATGGTGGCGGAAACGGTCTTCAATGCACAAGCCAGTAGGAACGTGGGGGATGTTCAAAGCAGTTTAGGGCAGTTCCTCTATAAAGTCCCAACGTGGGCTAGTAACCATCAAGTTACATTATCAGGATTTCTATTTAAGCAAATGTTTGTATTTGTGTCAAAGGTCGCATTTCTTCATATTTAGAGTCTTACACTCAAAGTATCTGCATCTAAGATAGAAACGAGTTTAGGATTAACAATATATGAATGCTTCTATATTTAAATTCATAGTAATTTCCAGTTTTCACATTTAATTTACAAGTCTTGTCTTTAATTCCTTTACTCTGCAATTATCTTTCACTTTTTCCCTTTTATCCAATAACAACCAGTTTCAACCCAAAAACACTCAAAACACTAAGTATATGATTATAGTAGTCGATCCTGCAAGTAACCTTTACTAAGAGGCTAGAAATTGTTTCACGGAGAAACAGGAACATACAAAGACATAAACAAGAATGCAACCAACAAAACAAGATGACTTACAAGCCTACCAAGAAAATAAGAATGCAACCAACATTAACAATTTCTAAAATAATAATTGCAAAAAATGAATTAACAAGAAAATAGCACATGAATGTAACAGGAGGTACAAAACCTGGATCAGGATGCATGCTACAAGAAATTGAAATAGGAATTAAGCTCAAACTAATCTCAGTCCAATGAGATCTTTTTGTTCATAAATTTCAACCTTCTCCAAAAAACGCTGCAATGGACTTATGAGATGTTGTGCAGTCCAAATCCATCACTAATTATCTCTATTTTTTCAGTATTATAAAATTCTATTATCTAAAGAAAACACAAATAACAAAATTAATTAAAATTGAAAATGAAGAAAAGGACTGAAACAATGGCGTTGGATCTGTTAGGGTTCAAAGCATTGAGACCGTTCAACTTCTTTGTAAAATTCTCTCTTCTCCTCAAGCTCCACGGCACTGACAGAAGTTCAAAATTTCCCCGATTTACTTTCTTCTTCCAACGATTCTACCGCCGTCTCGAATCGTCCTTCCTATTTCGATTATCTCTCTCTGTCGCGAACTTAATGGTGCTCTCCATCTCAAAACGCTTCAAAATCACCATGATTTCATTCGTCTCAACCTTTACTTCCTCTTCCATCATGAGCTCGTATATGATGAAGAGAGAGCAGAGAGAATGCAAATAAAGTTTGAAGCTCTGAGATTTTTCTGGTGATTCTTCCAATGATTGAAGAATGAGAATGAATTGAGGTGAGTTTTTTTTTTATATCTGTTAGTTTGTTAGGAAAATTTAGTTACAAGGAAATGATTCCCCGCCCTAGGATCTGAGAATTCAGTTGCAAAATGAATGATGAGATTGGAGGTATTTAGAGTTCTTTGAGGATTAGTTATGAATGTTGTTAACTGTTATTTATATGTGGGTTTTTTTGGAGTTAAGTGGGTTCACTTGTTTGTATTTTAAGAACCGATTTATTAGAATGTATTGCTTCGTGTAGACTGAATTTGCAAGATGAACTGGTATAGCATGAGGTCATGACTGCTTCAAGATTCTTCTTGTTTTTTCTGAACAGGTTTTGTTTGATAAAAATTGCAGGGTCAGTTTCCATGGCTCAAGTTTGGAATTAAATCGTTAGGCTTGTGTTTCTGTTTGGTTTCAGGTAAGGAAGAGGTTAGTTACGTGAGCTGGCACTTAAAGCTTGTTGAACACGATTCAATATCATCTTCCATATTTCTGTTTAGATAATTCGGATTTGGTTTTGAATGTAACAGCAGGTGCGGGTTTTATGTAATGTAGTTCACTTGTTTGAACTGTTTTGAATTGATTTTGATGATTGTGTATTTTTTATCTGATACAAGTTCAATTTTCCAAGCATGTCATGGCTGCAATTTGCTCTCAGTTTGAGTATCAGCTAGATGGTGAATTGATTTTGTGCCCAGTAGTTGGTTTTGTGCAGGTTCGATCATATTGGTTAGAGCATGTTCAGAACAGATTTTGAACCATGTTTGGCAAGAAAAATGGGACACAAAGTTTGGTGAAAGTATGGGGTTTTGGCCTTAAGAATTTAGATCTTTAGGCTTAGAAACATAGAACCAAATGCCTTGTAATTTTTTCTTTTTTTTTTCTTCAAGCATGTAATGGCACCATGTACTTTTAATAGGATAAACCTTATATTGTCTTGTAAGCAAACTTGTTCCATCTTGACTTTTTAATCTGAACTTCTTTTCTTTCCCAATCTTTCACTGTTTCAAATCTTGAATGATAATAAGTTGGTTTAAGCATGACTTTGTAATAAGCTCCATGATACCTTAAACTTGTATTTGAACTCGAGTGAACGAAATGTACTGGAATGGATTTGTATTCCTTTTAAATAGGATCTGATGGACCTTGTTTAGAACCTTGAATGATGTTTGATAATTTGAATGGAACTTGAGTCAATACTTGAATGATGAATGCCATGATGTTTGAATCAAGTTATGTACCTTTCATAATTCCACCATAATTGAACTCCAATTACATGCTTAAAACGATATTGTCAATCAAAATCTTGGCTTGACGTTATCAAAAGGTAAATGAATCCAATACTTGCATAAACCACGATACTTGCCTTATAACTCAAAACAAGATATTGAATCAATACTTGGATCTTAACAAAATGTTATGTCGTTCTTGAATTTCACAGAAAAACCTAATTCAATGTTGAAGTTCATATTTGATGTTCAGAAGAAGAGAATAGCCTTGTAGCTTGATGAAGAAGAAAATTCTGACAACCATGTATCCCATCCCTAATACCATACTTCATTGCTGGATGAAAAAACCAGAAGAATTAGAAGAAATGAGCCTTTATTGGATATGTACACCTCAACCATTGTGAAACTCTGGTATTGCACAATCACTGATCCTTTGAACTCATGGTACTTTATTGAATGAAATGCATGATATGCAAATGAGCTAATGGTATGTATGCAGATGAAAAATGAGAAGCATAAGCCAGTCAGAAGTATAAATAAGAGGGAAAATTTTGGAGTGCGACAGTTACCCCTATTCAATCATCTTAAACCTGGAGGTGAGAATAGCGATTGCTTTTGAACCTTCGAGGTAGAAGGGGATTGAATACCAAAAGAACCGTAAACTTTGTGTTATGGGTGCAACGATAGGAGATTAGATGTATATTTCTTTTTATTTTTAGAAGAAGGCCATCCAAAGTTGGAATTTTAGAAACAAACGTCGGTCTAAGACAGACGAAACTTGAAAAGAGATCCACCAAAAGATACTCTAAACAGAGATACTGATCAACTTGGATTTGTAAAAGAGGGACTAGTCAAACTAGACCTATAATAGGATACCAATTAAATTGGGTCTGAAAGATGAATGATTAAATTGAACTTGAAACGGTGAGACTAGTTAAACTAGACATACCAAAGAATGCCAGAACATTAGTTTAAGAAGGAAGGAATAATTAAACTAGACCTACCAAAGGATACCAATCAAATTAGATCCAAAAAGGATGTCAATCACATTGGACTTAAAATAGAAGGAATAATTGAACGAGACCAACCACATTATACCAATCACATTGGATCCGAAAAGGTTGCTAATCACATTGGACTTGAAAAGTAAGGAAGAGTTAAATTAGACCGACCACGGGATACCAATCACATTGGATCCGAAAAGGTTATCAATCATATTGGACTTGAAAAGGAAGGAAAAGTTAAACTAGACCGACCACATGATGCCAATCACATTGGATTCGAAAAGGTTGTCAATCATATTGGACTTGAAAAGGAAGTGTCATACCCTAATTTTTTACCTAAGATCCAACCCTCTATTTGCATCATTACAAACAAGTGTTCACGGGTGGTTTGACCTATTTTTGCCAATTCTCGAGTCAAATTTCAAAAATTCATAACTTCTTCAAATTTCGTTATTTTTGAGCAGTTCATTTTGCATATGATTCTCATTGACATCATCTACAATTTTTATTTACAAGTCAAAGAGCTGATTATGTTTAAAAGCCACGAAAAAATAAAAACGTTAGAGGTCACATTGTGAATTTAGTGAAATTTGACTTAATTTCATTTGTCTTTTAGACGACTTTATCCAATCATGCTTATTGCGCTTTTCTTCTTCTTTTATTCATTATTGCTTTTTATACAAAAATCCCAAAAAATATACCTTTAGCATCATTCTGTTTTACTTAAAAAAATTATTTCTTTATTCAAAATATCAAAAAATTATAGTTTTTTATTAGTTTCATTTAGATTTATGTTTTTTTTATAATTTTTAGTCAAAAACCTCATATATATGTGTGTGTGTGCGCGCGCGCGCGTGCGTGCGTGCGTGCGTGCGTGCGTGTGTCTTTTCCATTTGTATTTTAGAATATAAATTTTTTTATCCCTTTTTGCATTTTTATTGTTCATTTATTTTAATTTAAAAAAAAGGTAAAAAATATTTAGTTTAATGTCTTTTTGACTTTTTATTTATTTTAGTTTAATCTTTTTTATTATTACTAACACTTTTTAGTTATAGTTATTATTATTATTATTACTTTGTCATTTTGTCTTTTTGTGTCAATAAAAAAAAGTTGAGTACTACAATATACTACAAATACTTCACATAGATTGTCAACTTAGACTTATGAATAGTCAAGAATCATTCTCACACTTCACATGGATTGTCAAATCTAGACTTATCAATGGCCAATAATCATTCTCATAAAGTCACATGAATTGTCGCATCAACACTCTTCATCATTCACACTATAAATAAGACATCTCTTTCTTTCATTTTAGACTAACAATACCACACATACATTCTCGAAATCTTGCACATTCATTACATATTTTTCAAGTTAAATCATTTTTTTTCTTTTTAAGGATTCAAATTTTATCATTTTCTTTTACTTACACAATACTCATAATTCATGATCTTCACCACAACAACAACCTCCATCAAAACACATTAACTCCCTTCAATACAACAAGCTCAACTTTTGCTAGCTTTGGAGTTTGTGAGTATCATTCATCATTTATTTCCGTTCATACCATATATAGCTAGTAGTTTATTTTATATATATTTTTTAGTTTGTGAAGTTATGTTGTAAAAATGTAATATTTTTATGTGTTCATGTTTTGTTGTTGTTATATTGTTAGTATAGGTTAGCTTATGATCAATATCCATGTAAATTCATATTGTAAGTTTTTTACCTCTTTATTCTTAACAATAAGTTTTTAACCTCTTTATTCTTAACAATAAGCTTAACTAAACAGAAAAATCGTCCTTGCATCTTATTAGGATATTTTAGGATATTATGATATTTTAACTTTATTAGAATGTTTTAGATTAGTTAGATTAACAAACTTGTACATAATCACTAATTAAAAAGACAAAAAAAATTCTTAATCAAATTCAAAAATATTAAAAATATAAAAACACCAAAAACATATATGTGTCTTTTAAAAATTAATTAGCTTAGCTTAGAATTAATTTAGTAACCTTTGTGAATATTAATATTTTTTTTTTTAGTTTAGTTAGCAATTTTTAGTTTATTTGTTTAAGTTGTCATTTCTTTTCTTTTATATTTGATTTCATTTTCCTTTTAGATTAAATTTCTCATGGTTTTTTTTTGTCATTATTTCTTTGTTTATTTGGATTTATTTCCTTGTGATTTTCCTTCTTGTAGATCTTTGAGTGTTTATATTTTGGTATTTATCTTATTATACCTGTTGGTGATTAATCCAAGGGAAGAGATTACATTTGTTGACTATTTTATCATGATTTAACCTTGACTTTTAAGCTAGAGGATTCATTTGCTTCCTTTGACTATTTTGTCATGTTTTAGTCTTGACTTATATGTTTTCCTTTTACCATCCTTGCTTTAGGTTTGATCCTTAAATCTCAATCTTTTTGCAAACAAACTATTTTAGCCACACAAAAAAACAGATATTTCAAGAGGTTCATATGGAGTACCGCAAATGCATTAAGTGCTAACATCTTCTTTTTGTATAACCAACCCTCGTACCTTAGATCTCTTTAAATGCATTATTTTTCTCTACTTTTGGTGTTGCTTTTACTTTGCATATTTATGGGTTTTATTTTGCTCTTTTCCCTTTCACTTGTAAATAATAAAGCGCGGTGGCGACTTTCACTGTAATGAGTCAAGTCAATCAATGGATTGGTCTCAAATTT